CCCCAAAACCCCAAAACCCCAAAACCCCAAAACCCCAAATATTGTTCTAGAGATTGGCAAGATAATATATTTTTAAGGTAAGTGAATCAATAATGTCTGACTAATGATTAGCCAACCTCTTGCCACAGGGTGGATAAAATAGCTCCTTTCGAATAGGAGAATTTTTGATTTAAATATCCCTTCAAATGGCAAATTATTACCTGAGAATTACTCTCAAGTAGATTTTCATATTTCTTTCAATTTTTAAGAGTAAGAATATTTATCAAAGATAACATCTGTTGTGCTAGTCTAAAGAAATTTTAGATAAATTTTTAAAGATTCTAATATTTTTATCGTGTTTGAAGGTAAGCGAAAAAAGAATTACTGGGTCTATATAAACCCTCAAACTCACCCGAAATGCCCCTTCCACAGTACAAATCTCGTCTTATTGCGAATTTCTCACCTAAAAAAACTGAAAATTTATGAAATTTTAACTTATCTACATTCTAAAGTTATTCCTCCAAAAATTATCATAAAATCATCTTCATTACACATATTTTTAGTCCTCCATTTCTTTTTAGAGCAAACTTGGTATAAATCTGCTGTAAAGATTAATAAATTAGAGAGAAATTTATGCAAAAAGTCACTCTCTTCTACATTTCCCTAAGCCTTAATAATAATGGTCTCAAGTGATAGTCTTAGTACAAATTTTACCCATTTAACATCATGATTTAAGCCTGTTAGCAAACTCAGAGATTTCAGAAATAGTGAATAAGAAGAACTATGGAAACATCCTAGTAATTTGATAAGTTTCAGACTTACACTTTAATGGACTATTTAAAATACTTTATCCAAGAATGGCGCTATTTTCCATCCCCGAACTCTAATTAGCGATCTGGGGTGAAATATAGCATCCCAATGGTATTACCTCCTTCAATGGTGAGAATGAAGATTTTAGCCCGATTTCAGGAAGAATCTTGAAGGTTAGCTTAAGACCCTCCAGTTCCATCAGTTTCACAATAGAGTTAGCCTCACAATACAGATTTTATTACTGTTTAATGAGTTTTTTAGTATTTTCCTTCAGTAACATTCTCTATGTCCAATGCTTAGTGTTAGTAAAGCCCTATTTTTGCAAAATGGGTGAAAGATATTGCTAGGTTAAGCCTCCTACTTAAAAGCTTCCAGATACGTTGAGATTTATGGTTATCTAGCCCAGCTGCTTTTCTCCTCTTGTGCTTTCTTATGATAATTTAGGATATGTTGAGGATGTACAATATTTAACTTATCCTAGACTCTACCAGGGTTAATATCCTGACTCTCTGAACAATTAAACAGTTTATTCCAAGCTTTACTTTTATCGTACTCTTGGCATCAGTATGAAGATTGCTCATAAATCCTAGAGAGCTAGATGCTTACTCTAAATGAATCTCATTTTTCCTATGTGATTAAAAATAACCTAAACTCACCCTAAAGTCCATATTTTCTAAATCTAAATATTTCCCCCAGATTTTAACTCTCTAAAATTCTACCGAGAACAGGCAAATAATTCGAACTGATGCTGGGGGATAAAATCTGTAAATTTACACTCAGATTAATCTTTAGTATAATTTTGGTGTTTTGAGAAAAGTTAAAGAAATTCTTTTAAAGATTAACTTTTTGTCACAGCTTTTTGGTAGAGAATTTGGATTTGGTGTGGATGATGGGTACTTTTGGAGGCTATGCGTTTGTGGGGAGATGTTAGGAGGGTGGTACAAATGGAGGTTATTTTTGGTGATTGGGTGCATCTCTTTTAGGGATTAAGGTGGTCTAGCCAAAACTGATGCTATTGTTTGGAGAGTTTTTAGATTGTTAGAGTCTTTAGAATGAATGAAATTTATTGATGGTAAGATATTAGGAGCATTCAACAAAAGCTTCAAAAATTAACAACTGGAGTGCCCAAGTTATGGAGGATATATGACACTCGTCCATTTGTCACTTTTGAGAATAGAACTAGCTCCTTACTGTAGTTCGGTTACCTCCTCATCCTCAGATTCTCAGCCTCTAACTCCTATTAATAATATTATGGTCTGTTAGCAGGCTAGTTTAAGTTTTTGCTTCAAATCCTTGGCTAAAGTATCAAGACGAATATTTCGCTTAATTGTTAGAAAAATTACCTTAACAGCTTTTGATACTCAAGAATAGATCATAGAAGTTTTATACTCTTTATAATCCACTAGACAAGCTTTGTCTAAGTGATCCTATCTTTTACCAACGAACAGAGAATCTTCTCTTCTGAGATTTTTCTCTAAGATTTCAATTCCCCACAATTCAAAGGTTAACTTCCAAGATACTCCCAACTCTAAAGAATACATAACCCACACCAATCCATATCCCCTTCCAAACCCCTCTCTTCCCATCCATTCTGACACCCCTAAAACCCAGTTCAAATCCATTCTTCTCAATTTTCTCAAAATTCCAATCCCTCAACTCCTATAAACTCAACCCTGCCATTTCTCACTGTATAATCCTATCCCTGCCATTTCTCACTAAAGAGGCTAGAGAAGGAGATCTGCAGCAGCTGGACGGGACCAAAGAGAGGCTTTGACTGGAACTTTTGGATTTATGGGATTTTGACTGGGGGAGGACAAGGGGATAGAGGGTTAGGGAAGGGGTGGAAGAGAGGAGGGTTAAGGCACAAGGGGGATATAGGGGTTAATAGAGAGGAGATGGGGCTGTCTTATTGGGAGTAGATTTAGAAAGTAGTGAAGTCTGGTTGATTTAATAGCCAATGGTACAGGGAGTAGCATGTTGATATGGAGTATTGGGGTATCCTTGGGATCTTTGGCTTTGGGGGTTTTCCTTCCACCTACGTAATTCTATTTATCCATTGATTTAGAGGGTGCTCATTTGGCTATTCCTTTCTTAATTTTCATATTTTGTCTTGATCGTTCTTCTAAGTTTTCGAAAATATTTTATTGTATCTTATTCTATTGAGGTAATATTACATTTAAGCGATCTCAATAGATAATTTTATCAGTTTTTACCCTAAAAACTAGCCATACGCCAATTAGCCAAGCCTGAATATCTTAAAGGCCCATTTTAAACAAGTTTTTTAAGAAATAAATTGAGAGTAGTGACTCTGAATCAGAGTTTTCAAAATTTCTCTCTACAACAATCTGATATAATTTAGATGGAAGAAAACAAAGAGTATTTACAAACTCACAATATTGAAGGACAAATGCCTTATGGCACAGAAATGGTATTGTCTTATAGCCACTAATAGGTTTCCCGCTTCCCATATTCTTGAGATTTTGACATTTCAACTGATTTATAGACAACACATTACTACCCAAGAGTGAAGAAGAAGAAAGGAAGATGGTCCAACCAAGAACACGACATATTCATCAATTGTAAGTTTTTAGAATCATTTTAGGCCTCAAGACATATGGAAAGGATTGGGATAGACTTGAAGAAATGGTATTTCCTGATAACTTATAGACAATATCTTCTCCATAGATCCCAACAAGGTCAAGTTTGCAGATTAGGTCTCACTGTCAGAAGTATTTTGACCAGATCAAGAAAGAGTATAAGACAGACAACCCGATGGAGTATATTCTAAAGAACATGTGAGACACATCTCCGTACTACCAATTCGACCTGCCCCAACTGACTGACCCAGTGCCCAACCCTCAAATTCACAGAATGATTACCAAAAGACAGATCGAGGTTGCTCCCTCTGAAGAAAGAATTGACAAGAAGAAGTACTTTAAATACAAGAAAGAGATAGCATCAAGCGACAGCTCAGGATATTTCAACAGAGAAGATTCGAGCAATATGAAGAAGAGAGAACTGAAGGAGCTCATGAAGAACATGCAGGACTCTAACTCTTCAAATATGAGTAAAGAGAAAAGACTTCAGAGGGAGAGCAACTCTGATTCATCAGTTAAGCTATTCAAGATAGAGAAAGTTTCCAAAAGCAGAACAGAGTCATTATCCAATTCAAACTCTGATCTAAAGAAGATGTGTCAGGAAAAGAGCGTCAAGGCTAGTAAGAGCAAGGATAAAAGATCAAAGAAGGATGCCAGGATGAATATTAAGAAAGGATGCAGTATACTTCTTCTCAACAAGGGCAAAATAATTATTCAAGGAAACAGGATCGAATCAAGCATCCCAGTGGAGTTACAGAAATATGATGGAGATATTAATACAGTTATCCCCGATAACCCTTGTCAGATCCTCATTGAACCATTAACTACATCAAGAAGCCTCTCTAGATCTCAGGAAAATTTCAAGGGGACTAGCCAGAGTATGAAAGGAGAGAATGTGAAACCGTTGTTGACAACAGGATCCTACAGCACCAATGCTACTAGCAGAAGAACTTATCAACAAACTCCAATGCATCAAGATAACGAACTCATTAAAGGAATGGAAATTCTTCAGAATATATTCTGCTGCTGTGTAAAAAGATAGCAATTTAAATAGATTTCAATTGAATTTAGCTGGTCTGGGGTTTTGGGGTTTTGGGGTTTTGGGGTTTTGGGG